CTGTTGTGAGCATTTGGGGAATGAACCAGTGGATGAAATGAGATCTCATCTTCTTCTACCCCCGCCCACACCAGACCCCTTTGCCTTTCCCTTTTCCCTCACTCCCCCTCTCCTTATTAAAAAATAAAAAGTGGCCAGCGCCGCGGCTCAGTAGGCTAATCCTCCGCCTTGTGGCGCCGGCACACCAGGTTCTAGTCCCAGTCAGGGCACTGGATTCTGTCCCTGTTGCCCCTCTTCCAGGCCAGCTCTCTGCTGTGGCCCGGGAAGGCAGTGGAGGATGGCCCAAGTGCTTGGGCCCTGCACCCCATGGGAGACCAGGAGAAGCACCTGGCTCCTGCCATCAGATCAGCGCGGTGCGCCGGCCACAGCATGCCGGCTGCGGCGGCCATTGGAGGGTGAACCAATGGCAAAAGGAAGACCTTTCTCTCTGTCTCTCTCTCTCACTGTCCACTCTGCCTGTCAAAAAAAATAAAATAAAAATAAAAAGTGAGCATGTAGCTGGTGTGCTCTATCCAGGAAGTAAGGGCTGTAAACAATCACTGAATTTCAAAATGTCCATTTCACTCCAATGTATTACATTTTAGGTATTCTGTTTTAAAAGGACTGCTCCAGGCTCTGTGTTGAAAACTAACTGTAGGGGACCAAATGGTGGAGTCAGGGTGGCTGTGGCAATAACAAGTGAGAGGCAATAGTAGGAATGATCAGATTTTGGATTCAAGGTAGTACCGACAAGGTTTGCTGGTTGACTGAGTGTCGTATTAAGAAACTAAGAATGAAGCTAAAACGCTGGGCTTGAGCAGCATGAAGAATGAAGTTATCATTTGCCAAAGTGCAGGAAAGTTTTCCAAGGAGCAGAGCAAGGTGAAGAGTTTTGCAAAGTTTGCCATTCCCAATTGGATACCAGAATCTCAAGTCCAGGGCAAGTCCAGGCTAGGAAAAGATGCATCCTGGTGTAAACACGCATCCACAGTGGGGTGAACATGCATACACAACTTCTAGGACTGAGACCAGGCAGAGGGATGAGGTGGAAGCACTTGATGGGAAGAAGCAGCAGTAGAGTAAGAATAAGGCACAGAGAGTTTCTGGAAGCCAAGTGGAAAAAGTGCTTCAAAGAGGCATCAGCAACTCTAGGTTCCATGAATGCACACAGAGGTGAGCAACATAAAGGTTGTTGGTGAACACTCAAGAGCAAGCTCAAAGGAGAGGCAGAGTTGTAGGTCTGGAAGGGGATTCTAGAGAGTACAGAAGACGCATAATTCAAGACAGTGAGTACAATCGACCCTGCATATCCACAGGCTCCACATTGTAGTTGTAACTAACCATGGATCAACAACATTCCGGAAAACAAGTCTGTACTGAACATGCACAGAGTGTTTGCTTGTCGTTATTTCCTGGACAGTACCAACTGTTCACACAGAATTTCTATTGTATTAGCTATTATGAGTCATTTTGAGATGATTTAAGTTACATGAGATAAGATGTGCGGGTTCTACACAACGATTATGCCAGTGCAGGAGGTGGGGGCGGAGTTGATGCCAAAACTACAAGATACTATTGTCTTGGGTTAAGCTTGTGATAATTTATTACACCAAAAATAGGACACTATCTATAGGAATATTTAGAAATAAGAATATATACACACACAGACATACATTTTTATGAAACGTTGCTAGTTTTCTTAATCTGTAGCAATACTGTAAAAGAGTGTGATTGCTTTGAATTCAGGCCCTCTGCCCACCCTCCTCAATTTCACTCCTAGTCGGTCCTTCACAGAAATTCCAGGGTTGCCACTATTATGAGAGCTGTGACATTAATATAATAGGGTGATGTGACATTGAGTGACAGCGTCCCGAGAAGGCTTCTTTGAGGAGATGACATGTGCGCTGCTGTTGAAAGGCAAGAAGGAACCAGCAGGTGCACAGCAAGTCCAGGCCAAGGGCTCTGCAGCGACAGTCAGCCCCGTCACAGAGGACAGTAGCAGATGATGTCAGGGACGTAAACAAGGGCTAGCTAGTGTAGGCTCTTGCACGCAGTAGAGGAGTTTGGACCTTCTCTGTGCCATTGAGAGGTTTATAAACAGTGCCAGGAACCTGCTACACTTCACACATGGAGCTGCTGTGTAGAGAAGGGTTTCCTGAGAAGACAAAGAGCAGATGTGCAGCAGTGTGGAGGTTGTTCATGGTGGATTGAACCAGTGTAGTAACAAAGGACATGTAGAGCAGCAGACACGCTGGAGATGCATGTGACAGCAGAGTTGACAAGACTTGCCCAAATGAGGCTGGAAGCAAGCACGACTTGTGGGACTCAGGCCTGAGACATGGGGTACAGTTCAGTGACTTTCTAACGTGCAGCAGAACAACAGGATTCAAAGAAATGAGTACATAGGTCATGCCCTTATGAAGTCATAAAACATTTAGGTGTTGAATGATGTCAACTGTCAGTCCTGAATATTTGAAAATACTGTGTGGTAGCACCATTTCATATAACCAGTTAGAATATGGGAGATGCCTACAGCTAAACTGGATTTAAATATTTTAGACAGTGAGTTGTTTTCAGTAAGAACACCTCCAAAACAGCCTTAAAAATAAGTCTAAAACCATTGCATTAAAAAAAAATCCCAGAGAAGGACATTATGTATTCTAATTTATCATTTTACTACCTTTACAGTCAGAAAAGTCTTCGTAATCTCTGATCTCCACTTGATGATAAAAAGCATTTTCTTTTTTCTTTGGATACAGAGAAAGATGAATAATTTTTATAGAGTTGAAATTTGTGCTAAAATACTCTAGGGCTGGCATTTGGTGAGGTGGCAAAGATGCCGCTTGGGATGCCCACGAACTCATATCAAAGTGCCTGGTTCAAGTCCCAGGTCCACTCCTGAGCCCAGGTTTCTGCTACTACACACCAGGAGAGACAGCAGACGCTGACCCAAGTACCTGGGTCCCCAAGTTGAAGGCTCTTGGCTTCAGCCTGGCCCACACCAAAATGTTGTGGGCATCTGGGAAATGAAACAGCAAATGGGAGATCTCCCTGAACGTGTATTCCCTTGTCTATCTCTATGACTTTCAGATTTCAAAGTACTAAAATTTTTAAATACAATTCTTACTCTAGTTTACATAAAACAAGGAATTTTGTATACACACATATTCTGATCTTTCTTAAAGCAGATTGATATTGAGAATTTCACTATAGTCAGATGTTAGTGAAGTATTTGTTATGCAGAGTTACAGACAGGGAAAGACAGACAGAGACATCTTCCATCTGCTGGTTCACTTTCCAAATGGCTCCAATGCCCAGGAGTGGGCCAGGTTGAAGCCTGGAACTCCATCCTTGTCTCCCATGTGAGTACAGGGGCCCAAGAACTTGGCCTGTCTTCTGCTGCTTTCCAAAGCACATTAGCAGAGAGCTGGATCAGAAGTGGAAAAGCCTAGACTCAAACCATATGGAATACCAGCATTGCAGGAGGCGACTTAACCCACTATGCCTCAACACTAGCCCCTAAAGAAACTTTTAAATTCTGAATGATCTAGTTACTGAAGAAAGATATAATTTAATCACAGCATTAACTTGAGTAATTGAATTTTTAAAAAGATATATAGATACCAGTTTTTCTCCCACTGAATTTTTAAAGATGTGATAATTTGATTGTTTTAGTTGAAGCTCCAATTCCAAGTTTAACCCTGCAGAAAGCTGTGTGTGTGTGTGTGTGTGTGTGTAAAATTTGTTATGATCAGATTCCAAATGCATATGCTTTACCTAACATTTTATCTTTTGACTTTTTTTTATATTGTTTAAGATTTATTTATGGGGCCAGTGCTGTGGCATAGTGGGTTAAAGCCCCAGCCTGCAGCACCAGCATCCCATATGAGTGCCAGTTCAAGTCCCAGCTGCTCCTTTTCTGATCTAGCTCTCTGCTGTGGCCTGGGAAAGCAGTGGAGGATGGCCCAACTCCATGGGCCCCTGCACCCGCATGAGCAACCTAGAGGAAGCTCCTGGCTCCTGGCTTCAGATCAGCTCAGCTCCGGCCATTGTGGTCACTTGGGGAGTGAACTAGCGGATGGAAGACCTCTCTCTCTCTCTCTCTCTGGATCTTCTCTCTCTCTGTAACTCTGTCTTTCAAATGAATAAAAACATCTTTACAAATTTTTTTGTAAAAATAAAAAAGAAAGATTTATTTATTTATTTGAGAGGCAGAGGTACAGAGAAAAGGACAGAGAGAGAGAGGTCTTCCATCTGCTGGCTCACTCCTCAAATGGATACAATGGCCAGAGCTGGGCCAATCTGAAACCAGGAGCCAGGATCTTCCTCTGAGTCTCCAGGTGGTTGCAGGGGCCCAAGCACTTGGGCCATCTTCCACTGCCTTCCCAGGCCATCAGGAAGGATCTGGAATAGAAGTAGAGCAGCCAGGACTCTAACTTGTGCCCATATGGGATGCCGGCAACACAGGTGGAGGCTTAACCTACTATGCCACAGTGCCAGCCCCAGCTTTTATTTATTTCAAAGGCACAGAGACAGACAGACAAAAATCTCTCATCCCCAAGTGCCCTAAACGGCTGGAATGGGGCAAGACTGACTCTAGGAGCCTGCAATTCAGTAGAGGCCTCCCACAATTTCAGTAGCAAAATATGTATGTAACATTTATTTCCCCCCCTGTTTCACCCCACTATGATCCATGGGTCTTTGGGCCTGCTGCCCTTAGGGAGCTCATTAGCAGGAAATAGGAATTAGGACCAGAACAGGACTCATCCCCAGGCTGTCTCCTGTGGGATGTGGACATCTCAAGCAGAATACTTTACATGACAAATTAACTTTCTCCTCTGGTTGAAACACAGTGAGGTATTTCAAAGTAATAGCTTTCTTTTTTAAAAAGCATTACTTTGGGGGATTTTTTTTAACTAAGAAATATGTTTCTTAGGCTCATAGGAAATCAGTAATGATAAACAAGTTGTTCTCTCTCCCTCTCTTTCTCTCTTCCCCACCCCTCACCCCCACCCCTACAGCAGATGGCTGGTGAACAGTACCTGACGGCCACAGAAGGCACTCACATAGAGAGGCCCGAGAATCAGTGTGTCTACAAAATTGGCATTTATGGCTGGCGAAAGCGCTGTCTCTACTTGCTTGTTCTTCTTTTACTCATCATCCTCGTCGTGAATCTTGCTCTTACAATTTGGATTCTTAAAGTGATGTGGTTTTCTCCAGTAAGTATGATGTGTTTTCCTGGTAAATATGTGCTGGTGTTGTTCGCTATAGCACTCATCTACATGGTATGGATAAAGGTTTCCTTTAGTGTCTTGTCTTTCCTGTCTGGAACAGTCTTTTTAGTAGCAAGATGTATATGTGGTGCTTATTTTTTTCCCTTTTTTTAACCTCACTATGAATTATAGTGTATGGGAATCGCCTATTTTTACTCTAATTTTTGTCATTACTCATTATCTTCACAGGGTGGGAAAATTGTTCTCTCAAGACTGTGGTTAATTAGATTTAAGATTCCATTAATCACTTGTAAAATCTTATAAAACATCAGTTTTTCTAATCTCACTAATTCACAAATATTTGCCATTTAGATGCCACTCTCTCGTGTTTTAAAAAATCCACTCTGATATGCAATAATTCATGAGACCACGTTAACATTCAACAATAGATTTGTCAAATAAAATGCCAGCAGTCCTAAGGTAGCAATACGCTATTTTAAACATCCTCATATTTCAGAGATAAGTGCATGATTTTATAGTTTCTGATAATATTTTGTGTACTTTTTGAAAAATGATCATTTAATGTAGCACATCTTAATTTTACAAGAGAACTATGGTGAGGTAAAAGTACTACGGGGAACACCACAGGTAGACCATTCTGTTCTCACGTGCAAGGAGCAAGGGCTTCTTCCAACAACACCACTTGTCGTCATCCAGCCTGAGAGCCTGTCCCTCGAGTAGCGCCAGTCATTCAGTGCACAAATACGCCTATCTCGCTGCAGGTCTAGCCAGCAGGCACATTATTTTGGTGACATAATAAATAAATATTTATAATTTTACATATGAAAAGAGGTAAAGTACCAGGTGTGTGTCTAGTTAAATTACTACCTGCAACACCAATATCCCATATGAGTGCTGTTCAAGTCCTTGCTCCTCCACTTCCACTCCAGCTCCCTATTAATGCTCCTGGAATAGTAGTGGAAGATGCCCCAAAGTGTTTGGATACCTGCCACCCACATGTCAGACCCAGAGGAGTTCCAGACTCCTGACTTCAGCCTATCCTAGCCTTGGCTATGGAGCCTTTTTGGGGATGGAATATCTTTGTCTGTCTGTCTCCCTCTCTTGTAATTCTTTCAAATAAATAAACCTTTTAAAATAAACATAAAGTACCAACCTAATCAAAGTACAGTTTGAGATGTCTGTTATATCACAAATATGGTATGTTAATATAAATATGTAATATAAATATATAATACAATGTAAATTATTGCTAATATAAATTATATAGAGAGATGCATAAATATATTTAAATTAGCCAAATTGAAGTTGTGACTTCTTGGTTAAAATTTATAAAAACAGTAATTCTATACCATCATGATAGTATTTAGTTCCATTGGACAGGAAAGTAACACAACATACAGGATGCATGTTTTTGCACAATATATACACTTTAACATCTCCACTGAAGAACTTTTCACCTTACTTTTTAGAGACTGAATCAAGGCTGAGATTCACACATTGAAAATTGTGGGATTTGTCAGGTACCCACTGGGTAGAAGGCTCTGCCTTGACCTGCCCCTCCATCATGCAGACTATTTAAGAAAATACTACTAAGAAGATTCCAGAAGTGCCTGGACTAAGAAGCCATCCCACAGTGCAGCAAGGACTAAGTGAGGCCACTCCTTCCTCCCTCCCTCGCTCTCTTCCCCCCTCCTTCCTCCCTCCCTCCCTCCCTTCTTTCTTATTTATAAAGAAAGACAGAGGAACAAAGATCAGGTTTTCCATCAGTTGGTTAATACCTCAAGTTCCTGCAACAGCCAGGGGTGGGCCAGACTGAAGTCAGGAGCTAAGAATTCAATCCTAGTTTCCCAAATGGGTGACAGGCCCAAGAAATTCAGTCATCACCACTGCCTCCCAGGGTACACATGACCAGGAAGCTGAAACCAGGAGTGGAGCTGGGCCCAACCTCTCACTCCAGTGTAAGATATGGGTGTCCCAAGTGGCATCTTAGTCATTATGCCAAAGGTTCACCCTCAGACTGCATTTTAAATGAATGAAGGTGTGCATTATTCTGGAGAGATGTGAGTTAATTTTGTAAATCATATGTGAATATTAAGTGGAAATATTTTTAATTTATATTCTTATAATACACGAAAATATTTAAAACAACTTTTAGGTGTTTTATGAATTTATATCACATTAAATTTTCTAGCAGCTAAATGCAAGCCACCAGTTTAGAACAGCTGACCACAGAGGTTGGCTCCATCTGCAGCTGTTCACAGCCTACACTTTCCAGTGAGATGCGTCACTGGGCAAGGCATTCTTTATAACCAGAGGAACATGTTGCTACTAGGGAGTGACCACTCAGGGCTGTTTAGTGCTGTCTTTTAACAGAATAAGAAAAACTATGAATAATAACAATAATAAAAATAATAAGAAAAACTACTGCAGAATAAGAACAACACTTATAGAATAAAAAGACAAGAAACTGAAAGGCTCTAACCACTGGAAAGTTCCAAGCCTTAACTGAAAGATGTTGGATAGACTTTAGGTCATTATTCTCAGAGCACAATGACATAAATTATGTAATCCTAAGATAGGTGTGAGCCTTGTTCTTTGCTTTTGTAATTATCCCATACACATAAAATTGTGAATTATATATTAATTTATGCTTTAATTTTTTACCGACATGAAAATCTCAATATGAGATTTTTATTTTCATTTATTTTTAATTTAACTTAATATTATTGTGATAAGAACACTTAACATGAGATCTGCCCTCCTAATAAAAATTTTTAAGTATATAATACAATATCTTTAATAACATATATGATTTTGTGCAGTAGATCTTGAAAACTTTATTCACTTGGCTTGACTGAAGCTTCACATTCCTTATATAGTGTGTGTTCCCAGCCCCTGGCAGCATTCTTTGAGTCTATGAATTTGACTATTTTAGATACTTCATGAAAGTGGAATAATGTAGTGTTTATCATTTTGTGATTGGCATGTTTCATTTAGTGCAGTGTCCTCAAGATTCATCCACATTGCAGAATTTCTTTTTTAGGATTAAATAATATTCCATATATATATACACACACACACATATATATATGGAATATTATATATATATATATACACACACACATATATCCTATTTTCTTTATCCATTCATGTTCCATAGACATTTAGCTGCTTTCTAAATCTTTGTTAATGTGGATAATGCTATGAAGGACATAAGAATCCAGATATCTCATCCAGATATTGATTTCCATTTTTTTGTATAAATAAATTATCTGAAAAGGAAATTAGAAAAACAATTCCATTTTCAATAGTCCCAAAAAGAAAAAAATAACTAGAAAAATTCAAGTAGGTGAAAGACTTAAATACTGAAAACTACAGAACATTGATGAAAGAAGGTAAGAAAATATAAACAAATGGGAAGACATCCTATGTTCATAGATTGGAAGACTTAATACCCTTAAAATATCCACACTATCCAAAGTGATCTGCAAATTCAATGCAGTCTTTATGAAAATCTCAATGGCAATTTTTATAGATATAGAAAATAAAATCTAGAAATTCGTATGAATGCACAAACAAATCCAGTAAAGTCAATCTTGAGAAAGAACAAAGTTGGAGGCCTCACACTTCCTGATTTCAAAATATATTATAAAGCTAAAGTAATTGAAAAACAGGATGATACATAAAAATAGACGTGAGTGTACTTGAAGAGTTCATGTACAAGTAGAATTAAAAGTATGAGTTTATTTTTATGCAAAAAAGATTAAATCATTGCATAGGTTTTCCCTAATACATATTTCTCATGTACTATTAAAAAATTTACACCAAAATGAACTCATAGTTTTGATTCCATTTTCTCTGAATTTTTGGAATTGCCCTTATATAGACCAATGGAACTGAAAAGAGAATTCAAAATAAATCCATGCATAAATGGTCAACTGATTTTTGACAAAGATGACAAGAATATACAATGGAGAAAGAACAGTATCTTCAACAAATGGTTTTGGGGAAACTGAAGAGAATAAAATTGAACCCTTACATTCTACACAAAAATCAACTCAAAATGGGTTAATGACTTAAACATAAGGCATGACCTATGAAACTCCTAGAAGGAAACATTTGAAGAAAACTTCATGACATTGGTCTTGTCAATGATTTCTTGGGTCCAACACCAAAAGCACAAGCAATAGAAGCAAAAAAAAAAAAAAAAAAAAAAAGACTACATCAAACTTCATAGCTTCTGCACAGTAAAGAAAATAATAAAGTAAAAATACAACCTACAGAATGGGAAATCTATTTGCAAAATGGTATGGCTGCTGTGGAAAACAGTAAGAAGTAACCTTCAGAAATTAAAAATTGATGTCATAATATCCAGCAATCCCATTTCTGGGTATTCATACAAATAAAGGAAGCCATTTTCTTTTTTTAGTTATATATAAACCAGTGTCCTTTCTTGAATACTTACATACATGCCAAGAAAGTAGCATGACTACAGAAGTACCTTTCTGAAAACTTTGACTCTGGAATGATAAAATAAAATAGGGCTTTGAGTATTTGCAGAGAACTATTAAATTTGAAACATATGCCAGCTAGAGTAGGCCAGTGCTGCGGCTCACTAGGCTAATCCTCCGCCTGCGCCGCTGGTACCCCGGGATCTAGTCCCGGTTGGGGCACCAGATTCTGTCCAGGTTGCCCCTCTTCCAGTCCAGCTCTCTGCTGTGGCCCAGAAAGACAGTGGAGGATGGCCCAAGTACTTGGGACCTGCACCTGCATGGGAGACCAGGAGGAAGCACCTGGCTTCTGGCTTCAGATGGGCACAGCGTGCCTGACATAGCAGCCATATTGGGGGTGAACCAACAGAAGGAAGACCTTTCTCTCTGTCTTGTTCTCTCACTATCTAACTCTGCCTGTCAAAAAAAAAAAAAAAAAAGGAACAACAACAACAACAACAACATATGCCAGCTAGAGTATAATTCTCTTGGTAA